CTGGGAGCCCCCAAGGCCTAGATGACTTCTAGCAAGTGACTTCACCTCTTGGTGACTTCATTGCCTGAAGACAGTGCCCCACACACACACCAGACAACACAGCTGGTGAAGCCCACCTGGACAGAGACCCTCCTCTCTGCTGTCTGTCTCTCTCTGTCTCACTGCAGAAGTGAAGTAGAGAGACAATAGTGACCCTTCAGTGCTTCTCAAGCTCTTGACCCAGAATCACACATGCCACTCACCCAGAGCTCACCTCAGCCACCCTGAGCTCGCTGGATCCTGCTCTCTGCCCCTGCACCCTGCCCTCGGCATACCCCAATCCTCCCCCAGCAGCCTCCCTCAGTCCTCCCACTTGCTCAACTCAAGTGAGGGGTACAATTTGCATTTTGTTTGCATCTGCTCGGTACCCTTGTACTTTTTTCCAAGGCTTCCCTGGGGATTTATTCTTGTGCGCAGCTGGACCTCCCTACACAGACCTCTGCCTGGGCTTGGGAGGAGCCTGAAAGGGGAGAGCTGCACATTCCCTGTGTTTCCTAGTGACAGTTTTCAGCCTGTCCATCCACCATACCTTCGTGTGCCCTGCTCTCCCCAACTCTCCCTTGTCACTGGTCTCAAGGTCCTAGAGGCTGTGGGCCTTGAAAGCCATTTGATCTCTTTTTAGGAATTCCCACCTGCTGGGAGGAGAGCTCCTGCTAGGGGGCAATGACCCCCAACATTACCAAGGGAATTTTCACTATGTGAGAATCAGCAAGACTGGCTCCTGGCAGATCATGATGAAGGGGTTAGGAGTCCCCAACCCTCCCCACTCTGCCTGCTGCTGCCACTGGGGTCGGGGTGGGGGATGGTGGGAGGGGCTGGGTTATTATCTGTCCTTCTCCAAACACAGCTGCTTCTTGAGGCATAGCCACCAGCTGTTCTCTGACTGCTCTGTCCAGGATTGCTACGATTTGAGGGTTGGGGGGCTAGGTAGTGACAGTGAAGTCACTCAGCTACATGCTGAGGGTGAGGATAGCGCCTTCTCCCCTCATCCACCAGTCACGCACTGTCTTCCTTCTCCTCCAGTGCACCCTTGATCACCAGCATGGCTCCTGTCACCACACTCGCTCAGGAAAAATATGGAGCCTGGTGGTGTCTGTCAACCTTCTGTCTGTCTGTGACCTCTCCCAGGGTGTCTGTGGGCTCTGCGACCTTGCTGTGTGAGGAGGGCTGCATGGCAGTGGTAGACACCGGTGCATCCTACATCTCGGGTCCCACCAGCTCTCTGAGGCTGATCATGGAGGCCTTGGGGGCCAAGGAACAAAGTACAGACGAAGTAAGCTAACAGGTGGGGCACTGGCAGTGGATGAAGCATCCCTGGTCTAGCCTCACCCAGGCAGCATTAAATCCCAAACAATCATTGCAGGCCTTCTGCTGACCTCTCACACTCCCAGTACATGTGGCTGGTTCCCCTCGGAGGGTGTGGTGACCAGCCCTCTATCTAGCAGAAGGGCCAGGCCAGAAGCACAGGGCTCTCAATGGGGTTCCCTTTATCCCCCCCACAGTATGTCGTGAACTGTAACCAGGTGCCCACACTGCCTGACATCTCCTTCCACCTTGGGGACAGAGCCTACACACTTACCAGTGCAGACTATGTGTTACAGGTGAGGCACAGGGAGGAAGTGGGCAGGGCCCTCGGAGGGAGGCCGGTCATAATGCACACTGCAGGCTCACCAGTAGTTCTCAAATGTGGCTGCACCTGTCACCAGGAGACCCTCTAAACATCCCAATATGCAGGCCACATCCCCACCTGTGATGCCAGAATCTCTAGGAGTGCCCCTGGGCATCAGTGCTTCCAAAGGTTCCCCGGGGATGCCAATGTGCAGCCACACTGCCAACCCTGCAGTAGTCCCCTCCCTATTTCCCATCAGATGTTCCCAGATTACCCGCTCCTGTATTCTTAGCCTTCTTTCAGGCTCAGGAGGCTTAGAGAACATTTTTAGGGTAAGAAACTGAAGCCAGGCTGGCAGCTCTTGAAGGCAGCACCGTGCCTGATGCACTGCATGCCCAGTGTCTGGCACAGCACCTGTACCCAGGAGGGGTTCATCCATGCTGGGCTAAAATGGCCAAGATGTGATGGATAGGGGAGCAGGAGGGCCCACAGCTGATGACAGCTGCTGGGGTAGGCCAGGTGATGGGAATGGCCACATGCCAGGCAGTGATACAACCCTCCTGTCCTCTGCCAGGACCCCTACAGTGATGATGACGTGTGCACACTGGCCCTCCAAGGCCTGGACATCCCACCGCCCACTGGGCCCCTCTGGGCCCTGGGTGCCAGCTTCATCCGAAAGTTCTACACAGAATTTGATCGACGTAACAACCGCATTGGCTTTGCCTTGGCCCGCTGAGCCTTCTGCCACCCCGGTGAGCTTTGCCTTTGGCCTGAGCCCAGAGCTGGAGCTTACTCTGGGGGTCCTCTCTGCCTGGGCTCATGCCATTGTGCAGGGACACCGAACATGGAGTCCTTGCCTGCTGTACCAGCACTTCCTCGCTTTAAGGACAAACAGAATAAAGACTTCATGTTTACAAGCCATGGCCTCTGGGTTCAACTGAGTTTGAAACAGAGGGAGGAGCAGCCATACCATCATGTGTACACAGGAATGTGACAAAGACTGACACATGTATCCCTTTGCACGCGTTCCTTCGTGGGTGGATGGTGTCATCTGTCTGCTGTCAACAGAGCCCTGGTTGAATCTGTTTATACAATCTTGGTTGGGAAGTTTACAAATAGCCACCCTCATGTCCACTCTGGAACCCTAGGGATCAAGGCTAATGATGTTGTAATAGACTGGGTCAGAAAAGTGCCCCTGCTTGTAGAAGCCAGCTCTGACCCTCGGGCCTGCACTAGCCAGCCCTACATCTCATGCTCTGCCAAACTCCCCTCAACCTGCACTACTCCCAAAAGTATAAGCCATCTGAAATGCAAACAAAACTCGCTTTTTATTTTCTTTCTTTCTTTCTTTTTTTTTTTTTTTTCTGGCACTGGGGTTCAAACTCACAACCTCATACTTGCCAGACAGGTGCTTATGCCACTGAGCTAAATCCCAGGCCCTGAAACTCTCTTTTCCCCTGTGGGAAACAGACAATGCAAAGCATTCTCCCAGGATCACTCAATAGAGATTCAAATAAGGAAGAATCCTGAAAGGTAGAGAAAAATCAAGCCTAGGATCCAGCCTGCCAGACTCAAGTCCTGGTGGGGTTTTCACCTTATCTCATGCAATGATACTGTCATAGGTACCTGGTATAGGACCATGTGCATAGAAACATAGACACACATACTTCACTGTCTTCCATCTCATGGGCTCAGGACTCAGACTGTAGTCTCTTCTCCCACTCTTACCCCTTGATCGTCCACAGGATACACAGAACTTGGGAGCTGAGACAGCAGCAATCTAGGGCTGGTAGCATTGCTCAGCAGTGCAGGACTTGTCTAGCATGTAGAAGACTTGGGCTCAATTCTCAGAACCAAAAAGTAAAGTACTAGCATCCACTTGGTGCCATTAATAATGTCCCTTCACCAGAGCAGCACATTCATCCTTTGACCCAAAAAATGGGGTGCTGAGTGGGTCAACCAGGCCCTTGGTACCTGCAGGGTTGCAGCCTCCTGGGGTAGGCTGATTCTAGGGCTTCTCTAAGGCAGTATTCCTGCTGCAGCAGCGATCTGCAGCACCCCTGGGCACAGCTGAGAGCAAGAGCCCAGGCTGTAGAGCCCTAGACTCCTGCTGGTTTTCCCTGTTCTGTGAGAAAGGAAGAGCTGGAGGCAGTGTCCTTTCCACATATGACATCCTGAGGCCCTGTGAGCTTAAACACACATACATCCCAAACACTGTCAACTGCACTGTCCAATACAGTACTCACAAAGGGCTCTTTACATTCAGATTCAAATTAAGGCTACATACCAGGTCACATTAGTCACATTTCAAGTGCTAGAAAATCACAAATGGCTCCTGGCTGCCGCGTTAGGCAGCACGACATTTCCAGCATTGTACCAGTTCTGCCAGGCAGAGCTGGGTTCTGAGCAGCAATCACAGGGCATGGCAGTTGGATGAGAAGTTCCTGAATAGACCAGGGACAATTTGGGGACCCAGAAATGGGGTTCTTTGCCATAGGTACTTTCAAGGTAGGGCAGTGAGAGATGGTGACAGTAGTAATGTCCTTAAGGCAAGACAGTGAGTGATTGAGGCTTCGCTATAGCAGAGAACAGGTTTGTCAACAAGGTTATGCTCATGAGGTGACAGATGGCCAGTGGAGGGAACAGTTCAGTTCCCAGAACAGCTTTCTACTACGCTGGTCTGGCCTCATCCCAGGTCTTCCCATGGCAGTTTTGCCCTCTGGGTCTCCCTGTCACCCTTCCTTTCCCCCGTCCCACCCCCCAGGTGTCTGCCTGTCTCCACATGCCCTTGCCCAACAAAGCCCAGGCTTAAGGGCACCTGCTGGCCCACCTGCCCCAACCCAATGCAGTCTCACTCAAAGTCTTGGTCTACAACGCGCCCAGACACTTCAGTGTCCTGGGACATTCAGCTAGGCACACCCAACCCCAAAGCCATCGCCCAAGTCTCCTCTCCACTGAATGAGGGAGGATGGAGGGGTTTTGAGTTGTAGGGAAGCAGCTCCTATAGAGCAGGGATGGAGGGTGGAAAGGGGGTGCAGGAAATATGACCCAGAAGGATGAAGCCCAGGCAGACATCTTGGGAGCCACAGGATCTCCATGTTCCAAGACGAGGCAGGGGCACAGAAGAGCCCCCCTGGCCCAGACTGACGTGACCCTTGCATAGCTGCTGGGGACGCACCCTGGGGAGGGAGCCGGGGCCGCCCCAGCTAGGACCTTGGGGCGGGGCTGTGGAGGCCCCGCCCCCTGCGTCACCGCCCCTTCCCCGGGGGCGTCACCCCGCCCTGCGCTCCAGGTTGCCGGGCCGCAGAGGTCCACTATCAGCAGGTGGCGCGCCCCGGGCTTGCGTGCTGAGGCGGGGGCGGCGGGAGGCGTTCCCGGGCCCGTGATGTCACGATCGCGGCGGGGCCCCGGCATTCCAAGGCCGGTCTCGGGCGCGGGGCGGCCGGCTCCTGAGTCATGGACTTCCCCTGGCCCCTCCTCTGCCCCTCCCCCCGGCCCGCCGGGCCCCCCCGCGGGGGCTAGCGCTGGCGCGGCGGCTCCGAGGGGGTGGGGCTGCTGGGAATGGCTGTGCCCCCTTCGGCTTCCCTGCAGTGCTCGCCCTGCTACCTGCGCGGGCGGGCTCCCTGTCCGCAGTGCTCATGGGGCATGGAGGAGAAGGCGGCGGCCGGCGCGGGCTGCCGGGAGCCTAAGGGCCCCCCGAGGGCGGCCGCCGTCCCGAGCTTGGCAGTGTCGGTGGACCCGGACGACATCCTCCCCGGCGCCCTGAGCCTCATCCGGGAGCTGCGACCGTGCTGGAAGCCAGAGCAAGTTCGCACCAAGGTAGCAGAGCGGGCGCGGGCCGGGCGTGGAGCCCTGTAGTAGCTGCGTGGATGTCTGTCCGCCTGGCTGTCTGTCCGTGTATCCTTCCGGGCTCAGGAGAGGCTCGGGACGTGGTGTGGGAGTGCGTTTGTCCCTCTATGTATTTCGGTTCTGGAGCACAGCGAGGCTCACGCCTTCCGGAACCCTACGCCCACGCCTCCTGGGCTTGCTGGAGTCCACCTGCCCGTGGATCCTCGCTGCGTGTTGGGCCGCACCCCTCTACCCGGTGCGGGGCCCTCTGGCTGCCCGGAAGCGCACCCCGCCAGCTCCAAACCATGAGGAGGCAGAACTTTCAAGGGAGCGCCCACCCCCCACACACAGTCTCCACTCCACTGTGGGAGCCAAGCCCCCAGGCTGTGAGAAGCCTCTGTGGGTCCCAGAGCCACTGTGTGGAGTTACAGTCTGCACCCGGCTGGGGCTTAGCACTCCTCCACATACAGGGATCCTGTGCCCCAGCTGGAACCATGGTCCCTGGCACCTGTGGGCAGAGCCTGCCAAGGAGGAGCCCCAGGCTGATTCCCCAGCTGCCCTGCATTCTCTGCAAAGAGGCCTTCACCTGCGCGGGCTCACCCCTACTCCCCCGGGACTGCCTGTGGAGTAGAGTGCTGGGCCACAGCTCCATGTTGATGAGTGTTCTGGGTGGGAGAGCAAAGTTCATGCACAGTGTAGACTGAGGGTGGAGGGAGGTGGACCTCTCTAGGAGCAGGAAAGGGGTAGCATTTTCAGAGAGCCCATCTGGCAAGTTAAAGCCTGAGATTAATTCCCATATTGACCTACACGCTAGCTGCTAGTTTCTCACCACTCTGGACCTCAGTTTCCCTGCCTGGAATTAGTCCATACATCCCCTGAGGTCCTGTCCAGCTCTGCCACATTGGGTGCCCCAAAAGTCCGTGGTCCTTTCCACCTTATCATCCTGCACAGACAACCTGTGCTCCCAGTCTGCTTGTGGCCTCTGTGTTCTTCTGTGGGACTCAGTGGCTCCAAGGAGCTCTAGCTATCAAGCCCTAAGATGGGTGTCAACCTTGGTGCCTTCCTTATCCCTCTGCCATGGATTGGGCAAGAGGGACAGCAGAAAACCCTTGCTGGCAGCGCTGAGTAACCCACTGGGATGTTCTGTTCTGGGTAAGTTGCAGGCTTCCTCTGTCCATTCTGGTCCAAGGGGCTTGTTTCAGGGCCAAGATGAGGAGTGTTGGGATCTTACATGTTCTTCTGCTGTCAAGTCACATCCACTAGAAGCAAGCCCTGGAGCAGTGAGTGCCCGGGAGCAGGGCCCACACAGCCACTTTTTTTCTTGAGTTCTCTGGTCCATCCAAGGTTTAGGGACAGCTTTCACATCAGTGCCTTCTGCCAAGTTAGAGGCCCAGAGGAGCAACCAGAGATCTGCCCCACTCACCTTCCCACACTGCCCTCTCCATGTGCTAGCGCTTCACTGATGGCATTACCAACAAGCTGGTGGCGTGCTACGTGGAGGAAGACATGGAGGACTGCATGCTGGTCCGGATATATGGGGAGCGGACAGAGCTGCTCGTGGACCGGGAGAATGAGGTCAGAAACTTCCAGCTGCTTCGAGCACATGGCTGTGCCCCCAAACTGTACTGTACCTTTCAGAATGGGCTGTGCTATGAGTACATGCAGGGTGTGGCCCTGGAGCCGGAGCACATCCGGGAGCCCAAACTCTTCAGGTAAGTGGGTTGCAGGTTACTGTTCGCCTGTTCCTCAGGCCTCAGGCTTTGAAATCCTTGGCCAGCTTCTTTTATGTAGAGTCGGTTCCGTGGAAGAGAGTCACAGAATCTGTGAGCTTCCCTAAAATTGCATGACAAGTGTATGCATGCGTGTGTGTGTGTGTGTGTGTGTGTGTGTGTGTGTGTGTATTGATGTGCATGGCTCTGCAGGCAGAGGCTCTGGCTTTCTGTGGGTTTCCGGTGGAGGCTGCTAGAAGGATGAGTTGGAAGAGTGAGAAACTTGGTGAACATGGGACCAGAGCATCTGGTTCCCAAAGTGCAGCAGAAGTCTGCTTCCTGACACCATGCTTCACACCTCTGCCCACCCCTGCTCTGACCTGGAAACATCCCAGAGCCTTGGAAATGAAATCTGAGCCAACTCCCCAAGGCACTCGGCTTCCTGCCACTCCTCGCTTTCTGCCAAGAGTTCAGGTGTGCAGGGAAAATGAGCCCTATCCAGGGTCAGCGCGACTTTGCCACTACAGAGATGAACTTTCTCCTGCCAGGTGGAGCTCCAGGGCTCCCTGACAAGTGAGAATCTAGGTTTGAGGAGCTACTAAGGCCTCCATGTCCCTGAAGGAGTCCCCTCTAATAAATTCCTGGTTCAGAGGGACTGGGAACAGCACTTAGCCTTTAAGCCCTACACATTCTGTTTGGGGTCTAGAAGGCAGAGAAATGAGACCAAGGAATGGACTGTAGTCCTTCCAATCTGTCCTCTCACTGTGCCAGGCTGCAGGGCCAGGCAATATCCTCCCTCCCTGAGAAGGCCATGTGGAGGGCATCAGACTATAGCAAGGCCTGAGCCAAGCTGGACTGTACACCTGACACTGAGTACAGCAGTTAGAGTCTGCACGGGGTCCCCAGCATCTGCCTGTCCTGTCTAACGGGAAGCAGACTGCTGTGTAGCGGGGGCGCTGAAGCCCTCTTAGGGTAGGCTGGGAACTTATTCGCTCCTTCACGTGCCACCCAGTCCACCCCAGCAAGTGTACCTGACCTTCTGCACATAGCCCGGCTCCATGCTGGTCTATGGCTGCTGGGGCCCCAGGCTATGCACTTCCCACTGCGTGCTATTGCTGAGCGTCTGCAGGGTACCAGAGCAGGAATATTGCAGTGGGGTCTTCTCAGGCTGTAGCCGATCTGCTCCTAAGTCACTCAGCCTGGAGGCTTAAGATCAGAGCAGGTGGGGACTCTGTCCTGCATCTCCCACCCATGCTCCTCCCTGCTCTCCCTGTGTCTTGTGCAAATAAACTCAAACCTTGGCAGGTCCCCACCACTCCCAGTCCCCCTCCGCCTCTGTGAGCCTCATGCTGTCACTCATCCCCTCTGTGGAAACAATTACCACTGTCAGGAAGATTGAAGAGGGATTTAGGTTCCATAATAAGAACTTGGCATTTGGGAGAGAGCCAGAAATTGGGAAAGGTGTAGGAGGCTGGCCCTTCCTTGATTTCCCCAGGTTAGACCACATTCCCCACGGGTGGAGGCTGTCTTTGGGGAAGACTTTGCCCTCCTGGGTCCTCCCCCCCCAAATAAACCCCACCCCATGCTAAGGCTCTGCAGCAGGAAAATGCTGAGTGTTGAGGTTACTTTCATTGCTATTCAGACAACAGTCCTATTGATATTCAAGGAAACCCTCTGTCCATGCTCTGTTCCGAATCTCCCTTGGGGAAGGAGGGCCAGGCCTGCCATCCCTGCCTTGCCCAGAGCCTGGCCAGCTCCCTCTTGGCCCGGGGCCTCTGGGCTCCCCAGGCACAGCCTCCTTTCCTGACCCAGTGGGCTGCTGCCATACCCCCTGCCTCTCCGCCCTTGAGATGGTCCCTTGGGAGCTTCTGAAGAGCCTTGAGACTGCCGTTATCCTCAAGGGACATGGCCTGCCCCTTCCAGGGCCGGGCAAATGGAATGGGTGTCCCTAGTATGGTGCTCTACGAGCTTTCCAATGGCCCAGGCTGCCGTTGTCTTTCCCAGTGGAAGCCTGGCGGTTGGAGGCTTGGCAGGCAGCTAAATTAAGGCTGCAAAAGGGCAACTGGCAGGAGGAGCCCCGCTGGGGTGCAGGCCTTGCAAGGGGTTCCTTATCAGGGGCCTCGCTCTCTGACTGGTCAGTCCTCTGTCCACCCCCACCTTCTCCCAGCAGTCTTCCTTGCCGCCCACTCCTTCTCTCCGGGGACCTTGGATAGTGTCCACAGGAGAACTTGAAAATAGAACACTGGTTTGTTTTGCGTCCTTGGCACCCAGCCGCCAGCATCAACTCCCTGTGGCAGAGGAAGGGGCTGCCTGTGTCCCTCCCTCCCGTGCCTGGCTGATAAGACATTTCTTCCCTGTTTGGTGTTATTATCCAGTGAACTCTTGGTAGAGAAGGACCTGCGGTTACTTCCTGAGAGGATGGAGCGAAGTCCAGAGGGGAGGCAGGCATCACCCCTGTAGCCAGGTGCCCCCCTGCCCTGGGTAGCTGCTGTGAACACTGGGCTGGGGTAAGGCCTTGACTGGGCGCCAGCAGCCTCTGTCTTGCCCTGCCCCTGCAGAGCCCTGGTCTGGAGAGGATGCTGCTAGGCTAAAGGTCTTCCTGTATTTTCACGCCTTTGCTGGGACCGAGGGCTCTTGGGAGACTGTAATGTCTCTCGCTTCCAGCCCGCTTCTGTTCTGCCCTACACTGATGTTCTCTACTCCTCCCTCCTCCTGCCGCAGGTTAATCGCCTTAGAAATGGCCAAGATTCACACCATCCATGCCAATGGCAGCCTGCCCAAGCCTGTACTCTGGCAGAAGATGCAGAGTTACTTCACGCTGGTGAAGAATGAGATCAACCCTAGGTATGAAGCCCTGGTAGGGTCAGAAGCTGCCGCTGTCTCTGCTGCCCTGACCTGCTGGCCCTACCCTGCCCACCCATGTGGGAGGCTCAGGGACACAGGGCCTGGGGTGCGTGGTGCCAAGAGCCTCTCCTGCAGTCCTTGCAGTGGTCCTGGTTATTGAGTTTATGTCTGCAAGCAGAGTGGGGTGGATGGGCTCCATCTCAGGAATGCCACTCAGCAGCTATACACACCAGCACTTGTTTCGTCCGGAATCTTCCAAGTGTGGTAGGAGCTTGGGGTCTGGGACAACTTCTACCCATTTTACTTAAAGGGAACTGGGGGTCAGAGACAAGCCTTACCCCATGTCAGGCTGTCAGGGAGGACTTCTGTCTCCCAGCCCACGAGTTTTCTGCCTGACCTGCCTCTAGACAGGGAGAGAGCAGGGCCCTCTGAGAAGAGGAAGGACTGCACCACAGTCAGAAGAACAGTTCAGCAGCCAGTATGCCCCGAGGACACCCCATCCTGGACTCTTCTCGTGCCCCTCTGGCTCTGGAGTGCCTGTACCCCTGGACATCCTGTCCAGCCTGAAGCGTGCAGTTCACTGCGCTGCTCTTTCCAGGGACAGGACTGGTACTGTGCCCTTCCCCAGACAAGACAAGTTCCCTGAGCTTTTCTGTCACTTTGTCGCAATGGTGCAAGACTCCCAGCTCCCAGATGCTTCCACACCTGGAGTGCTGAGGGGAGAAGTGGGGCCCAGAGGAACAAGTGCTGTCTCACCCCAAGAAGGTCTCTCATCCCACCACGTACCCTGCTGGGATTAAACATCACAATCTTGAGCATGTATTTTTTTTAGTTTTAATCGACATAATCGTACACATTTATGGGGTCTTGTATGATCCTTCAATGTATGCGTGCAATGTACTCTGATCTGGTGGGGTCACTGACGTGCCCTTCAACTCATTTATCATTACTTTGTGTTGTAAGCATTCAAAGCTCTCTATTTTGCAGTGTATGATTGATTTAGACATCACTTTAGTGTCACATATTCTTGGGGACAGGGCGTGCCCCTCACTCCTTCACAGTGACAGTCGTGAGCTCGAGCCTGATGGTGAGTGGTCTTTATCTGCACCGTCTACTGAAGGATTATCAAGCACAGCTTTGGAGCTATCTGTTCAGGGTGGGCCCAGCCTGCCCTCTGTGTGATCATCTTCAAACCTGTGTCACATGTTGTATCTGGGACAAGGACTGGCCTCTGCCTGAGGACCAAAATGGCATGTGGAGAGCAGAACCCTCCCACTCTCCAGCCACCATTGTCATTTGACAGATGATGGAAAACTGAGGGAATAGGACCTACCCAGGGTCATTGCTCAGTGGGGCAGTGACAGCTCAGAGACTAGAGCACAGGCCTGGTGCTCAGAATGATCCTGGATGCTTCAGCTTCCTTGACTTTTATCCCTGTGAAGTTTGGGGGTGACTTTGCTGGGGTCAGTGATCTCTGGGGAAGAGGTGGCCTTTGCTCTTGTCTTGCCTTTGACCTCAGCAAGTCAAGGGTTAAGTTACTTGAGCCTGCTTGGGGGGTGTCCCCGCCCCAAAGCCCCGGCCATCATTACACTGGTCGAAGCCCTTTGAGCACTGTGATTGCATCATAACCCCAGTTTACTCGGTCCTTATTTGACAAACACTGAGTGACCAAAATTGAAAACAACAAGATGATGGCAACCATGATACTGACTCTGCCCTAAAGGAGGGCTGAGTTGGAACTAAAGAGTGGGCAGCTGAAATGCCAGGCTAAGAAGCTAGGACTGAGGGGAGCGTCAACAGAAGGTCATGGTGGTAGAACCAGGGCTGTGGCTTAGGGAGGAAGCTATAGGGAATGCATTTGGGGGAGGCTTGAGGTAGAGTCTAGGTGTGATGTGGGGAGATCCGCTGAGGGAGCCTTGTCACTATGTGGGCACAGTGGTCCCGAACATGGAATCCGGGTTCCCCTGGATCTCTGCTGAGCAGATTCTCCACCCAACCCTAGTCGTTGATCAGGTGTCTGGCATTGAATCCCAAGACTGTGGCAGGAACCACCTTGTGAGGGATGTTGCTTTGGGGCAGCTTGGTATAGGAAGGAGGTGGAAAGGGCGTGTGTCCAAGACTTACAGAAATAAATCTGGTCACCTGAGTGTCTCTTAGCCCCAGAATTGTCCCTTGTGGCTGAGGGCTGCAGGCTGGTAACTGCCTACAGGTCTGAAGAGAAGCTGCTGGTGAGTTAGAGGGAGGGCAAAGATGAAAAGCTAGGACGCTGGCATGCTTAGGGGAGAAGGCATTTTTGCCCTGCTGGGTCAGAGAGCTGAATGGAGACATGCCAGGCAGGAGTCCCTTCTTTGGAGCCTGACCCCTCTGTCCCTTCGGTCCCGTACTGTTGTTGCTGGGGACTGAGGAGCAGAGGAGCTGACCTCCCCAGGCAGGGACCCAGCCCACAGCCTTGCAAGAGTCAGGTGGTGTCAGGACTGGAAGTGGCAAAGCTGGCAGCAGCCTAGGTGCCCAGAAGAGGGACACAGGCAGCCGAGCAAGCGAGGAGCCCAGACTCTTCCTCCAGTAACCACCTTTGTTGCCTTGGGGTGGGCAAGGCAGGGTCAGACCGAAGTCAAGGACTGAAGCAGCATCTGTTGGAGGTGTGTTTTGCAGGAAATCTCCTCATTCTTATTTTTGCATGGTCTCAGTCCAAAGAAAAAAGAATCTTAAAAGAAGGCTGTGCCTTAAAGAGACCAGCTCGAACCCCGATGTAGGCAGAGCTGTAGTCCAGTGTGGGTGAGGCCACTGTCGAGGCCAGCCCCTCCACAGGCTTCCTGGCACCAAGAGACCTTCCCAGAGCCTGAAGGCATCCTGTCTTCAAAGGGCATGTAGGGCTTGTTGGTGAGACCTGGCTATTTTTGGACACTGAGAACTGAGGACTGCTCTGCTTAGGTAGTGAAGTCCAGGGTCCAGCTGTGCCCCAGCTGTGAAGGCCAGGAGGAAAGCCTTCCTCTTTCCTGGTGCCTCAGTCCTCTGTGGTGAGGTCGAAGGATTTAAGAGCTCCTTAGTTTTGACCTTGTCAGAGCCTGGGAAGGGGCCAGGGATTTAGCTTGGTAGCAGAGTGCCTGCCTGGCAAGCGTGAGGTCCTGAGTTTGATTCCCGTACCTCCCCAGGCAGGGGACCCAGCCCACAGCCTTGCAAGAGTCAGGTGGTGTCAGGACTGGAAGTGGCAAAGCTGGCAGCAGCCTAGGTGCCCAGAAGAGGGACACAGGCAGCCGAGCAAGCGAGGAGCCCAGACTCTTCCTCCAGGAAGTGGCAAAAAAACAAAAGCCCTGGAGGAAGGCTTCCAGCTCCTGGTTTCCCAGAGAGGATGTGAGGATGCCTTAGTCACTGATACTGGTCCTGCATCCTGCCCTGTGGGGAGATGGGATGGAGCCTGTCTCCCTCAGCCTCCTCTGTGAGCCTTGGCCAGAGAAGCACCAAATAAAACCCTAGTCCTGGCCCTGCTCCTTTGAGGGGCCTTGCGTTTTGAGGGGCTGGACTTCCTAGGCCTGAGAGATGGTAAGTGAGGCATGATCTCTCTTGGTCCTTCAGCTGCTGGAGTGTGAGGGACTCGGCCAGTCCCACCTTGCTGCATGGCACTAAGCCCTCTCGTGCTCTGGGTGGGGCCAGAATGATGGGGATTTCTCAAGCCTTGCGGCACTTTCCTCTTGGAGGGTCTGGACTTCTCCCAGGTCTTGTCCTGCATGCTAGAGCTGGGTGTGATGTGTGTCTCTCCCCACAGTCCTACGCGCCTCTTTCTCTCAGTTTGGACTCATGGGCTCTGAACCCTCCTCCTCGTCTTCTGTGTTCTGTGCCCCCTTTCTTACCTTGTCATCCTTTCATACAGTGGCAGGCCTGATACTCATGCCCAGGTTTTTTTTTTTTTTTTTTTTTTTTTTTTAAGTCTTTTTCATTTTTATCGGTACCAGGGATCGAACTCACGACTGCCTGCTTGCAAGGCAGGCGCTTATGCCGCTGAGCTAAATTCCCAGCCCCGTGCCCAGGTTTTTTGTTTTTGTTTTTGTTTTTTTTTTTGTTTTGTTTTTTTGGTTTTTTTTTTGTCTTTTTTGTTTTTATCGGTACCAGGGATAGAACTCACGACTACCTGCTTGCAAGGCAGGCGTTTATGCCGCTGAGCTAAATCCCCAGCCCCAATGCCCAGGTTTTAATCTGAGTCTCTCATCAGAACTCAGAAGGGCAGGAAGCCTCAGTGCGTTCCTGCAGGTGATGGAAGGAAGGGTCTGAAAGGTTGGCCGTTGGTCTGAGGGCTCTGCCGAGGCTGCTGCTCAGCGCTCTTGACTCCCAGCACCTGCCTGTCTGCACCAGCCCTCTCCTCACCAGCCATCTTTTTGCCATTATCCAGCCTCTCTGCAGATGTTCCTAAGGTGGAGGTGTTGGAGCGGGAGCTGGCCTGGCTGAAGGAGCATCTCTCCCAGCTGAACTCTCCCGTGGTGTTCTGTCACAACGATCTGCTTTGCAAGAACATCATCTATGACAGTGCCAAAGGTAGGGCTGGGTGGTGGCAGGGCGTGGGCTATAGGCGTGGCTGGCTTTAGGGACCAAGGTCTTCAGGCTAGCACTTAGGCAAGAGGAAGCCTGGATTTTTATCCTAAATTAATTTTTAAGAGAGAAGGGGAAAAGGAAGCAAGAACTTGCCATCCAGAAAAGCCTGTCACAAGAAATCACTCAAAATTGTGATGAGGGAGGTCCTCAGTATTAGGGTACCCAAGCTATTCCTCTTGGCCAATCTTCAATCTTGGGCTTTCCAAGGACATCATGGCTTCTCTGAGCCATCAGGGTGAGCCTCCTGTCGTCCTTCCCAGGACATCTGTATGCACCAGGGTATTTGTTCCAGGGCCCCTCAAAGGTACCGAAGGCCTTGATGTATGCACATCCTCCTGTTTATTTTAAACCATCTGTATTACAGTACCTGATGTCATGCAAATGCTATGTAAATAACTTCATACCTGGTTCTTTAGGGAATGACCAAAAACTCTGTATATATTCCAATCAACTCTTTTCCCAGATATTTCCAGTCACAGGATGAGGAACCTGCTGTAGTATGCTTGATTTCTGATCCTTAGCCATGCTGAGGATAGAAGTCCTGAGACAGCAGGAGCCCGAGGACGCAGTTATCCAAGAGGGATGGCAGGAGTCGGGGAGGGCTGAGGGACAAGTGGGCAGGTAGAAGCATTTTAGAAGACTAAAAGCTTGCAGACGTGGTGGTGAACACCTGTAATCCCAGCACTCAGGAGGCTAGGGCAGGAGGACTGTCATGAGTTTGAGGCCAGCCCTGGCTACATAGTTCAAGGCCAGCCTGAGCTACACTATGAGACCTTGTCTCCAAAGCAAAACAATCAAGAGCTAGCAAGGGTGAGGTGGTGCATTCCGCAGACCTGCAGAAGCTTGACCACGCTCTGCTTCGAGATTGGGCGCGAGCCCGCTTGGCCTCTCCTCTGCTCCTAGGTCGCGTGCAGTTCATTGACTACGAATATACTGGCTACAACTACCAAGCATTTGACATCGGCAACCACTTTAATGAGTTTGCAGGTGAGCAGGGATTACTGTTTGACCTTACTCAAGATCCCTCCCTGTGCTGGGGGTGGGTCTGTGGGGAAACCTTAAGGTGAATTTGGACTTGGCAAGTGGAGGCAAAACAGCCTGAGTCCTGCACAGTGTCACAGCTCTGCTCTAAGGGGGAAGGCACTGCTGCATGCCTCATGGGGTGCGCAGGACCTGCAGGCACAGCTGGTCTCTGGCAGCCTCTGTGAGCAATTTGGTGCAAGCTAAGAAAACATGTTGCACAGAGGAGCCCAGGGCTTCTTGCCCTGGCACATGAGCTGGAAAATGACCCCTTCCTCTGGACAGATGAGGCCAGCGCAGCATGGGATGACACATTAGCATCCGCTCACCACTCATCCCAGTTTCTTGTTACCTATACAGTTAACATGAGGGCCCTGCATGCAGATAGGGGCAGAACAAGTTGAAAGTAGCTGTTTACCTGGTGGCCTGAAGAGAACAATCTAGGTGAGATGAGTTAAAATCATGTACTGTGGAGTTAAAATCGTGTACCTGACTCCCCAAGTCCAAATCCTAATCCTGGTTTTGCTGTTAGTTACCCTCTCCATGACCCTGAAAAATAAAGCTGATAACACACACACACACACACACACATGCACACGCGCACACACACGCATACACGCGCACGTGCGCGCGCTCACACACACACACACACACATCTGAGCATCAAATTAGAGTGTGCCCTTATCAGGCCGGAGGGCATTGCAGCAGCTGCCAAGGAGGCTGGAGCAGGAGTGAAAGGGATTGGATAAGGAAGCAGTCCCTAGGGGCTGGTAATGGGTCTGTAAATGCACGATACACACAGCAAAACCATTTATGTAAAGGAAGCAGGCAAGTTTTTTCAGCTTGAGGGCTTATTCAAAACAGGGCCAAGGAAGCAGCTCAGATGGAGCTGGGCTTTGGGGCTGGAGAGACAGCCCCAGGCTAGCAGGGAGGTCTCAGCATGGCATGGCCATCCCCTGTGGCTTTGGTGAAGTATGCCCAGGACAATGGTAGGACTGCCTCTCAGCCCAGTCCAAGCCAGTCTTGTCCCTTCTGGAGCCCCAGGTGACAATTTGCCAAGCACTGTGTGAGCCCAAGGTTACAACTCCCCAGGGCAGTGACCAGCTGTGTCTAGGAGCCTGAGGGATGGCGGGGCCTCAGCTGGGCTGAGCAGAGCCCAACATGGGCAGGAAACCAGGGCTGTGAATTCTTAGCTTCCAGGATCATCGGCCTTTCCAGAAGGGATAATTCCTAAGCATTTTAAGTCCTCCTTGTCCATTGCACGTGGAATTTCTCCAAAGAGGCCACTGTATCCTGCTGTGGGTGAGAGGAGATTAAACTGGGGAGGACCCTCCTGGAGTCTCAGGCACTGAGCATTGGAAAGCAGGTTCTCAGGCACGGGAAGATGGAAGAGTCCAAGTCCAAGCCTGCCTCTGCCTGGCCATGTGACTGGGGCTGGTCTCCCCCCTCTTGGGATTGAGTGCTTCTTTAGGAACAGGAGGGATGCTTGGGAAGAGACCTTGGGGAAAGTGGCCTGGCCTTGGTCTTGTCTTAAACAAATTGCCTCTTTCTGTGCTGGGCCCTGAAGCCACCATGCCCAAGATATGGCTGTGGCCATGGATGGCAGCTCGAGGACTCCTAGGAAGGTGGGGCTGGGAGGAGCCTGGCTGTGTTGGAATTATTCAGAGACCAACAGGGCTGGGCTGGGCTGGGGATGCTTACTGAGGGGTGTTTTCAAGTAATTCCCAAATGCTACTGCAAGAAGCAATGTTTGACATTCTAAACTAAGTCCCGCTCCTTTATCTGATAAAGATTTGGGCCAGTGAGAAGAGTGTACTTGTCATCTACCTGGAACCTGGCCTGAAAGAGGTGGACAGTGCTGACTCAGGACTTTAACCCAGCACCTTCTGTGTACCCCCTAAGATACAGTAATGCAATCTTTTGTGGGGAGTAGAACTGGAGATTTAACCCAATGGACACTGCGTTTCCCAACCTTTTTAACTTTGAGACCAGATCTGACCTTGCTCAGGCTGACCTTGAACCAGCAACCCTCCTGCCTCGCCTCCTGAGTTGCTTGGATGAGTTTGTGGCACCGAGAAGATGTGCCCCTCCACTGTCTGCTGGTCTCAGGGTCTCAGGGAAGCAGTGGAGTGGTCAGAGAAGCCGAGAGCCAGCCCAGAGGGGAGGAGGGGAAGCGCTGGCGAGGCTCTGGGTGGTGGCCCCAGCGCCTGTCTGCCTGCCTCCATCAGGTGTGAGCGGGGTGGATTACTGCTGGTACCCTACACAGGAGACCCAGCTGCTGTGGTTGCGCTTCTACCTCCAGGCCCAGAAGGGCACAGCCGTGACCCCCCGGGAGGTGGAGCGGCTCTACGTGCAGGTCAACAAGTTCGCCCTGGTGAGTGCCTGAGACAGCCTCCCACCACCCCTTCCTCTCGGTGGCCCTGAAGTTCATCTCAACGTCCCCTCGATACCAAGGTGCCTCTCCACTGCCCTAGCTGCCCCATCAGGTCTCTTCCCTTCTAGAGAAATACTACCCTAAACATCTCTGCTTCCTTCATTTGCTTTGTTTTGTTGGGGAGAGTCAGTAGTTCGTCCCACCGTCCACCTTCTGTGTTTCCTGTTGCAGAGCCCCATCCTTCAGCCTCGGGAGCAGGGAGGCCCATGGAACTCTAATACTCCCCGAGCTCAGAGCTCCACATCTGCCCTTCCCAGCAGGCTTTTCCAGCTCCTGTGCCTGAGCCTGTGGGTCTTATTCTGAGCCCCACTGACCAAGGAAGCTGGCCACAGCTGGTCTCCACTGGTGTGGGCCCTGGAGACTGTTAACGGTCTTAACAATGTCAGCCACGCATAAGAGGTCAGCTGCCGGCATTTTGCAATACGTAACAGCGCTTCATATGAAATCTATCCCCCATGACCTCAGGTTCCCTCTCTGCTCTCCAGGCACAAAACTGACTCATTGGCGTGAAAGACAAGTGTTCTTCTTGCTAAGATTGGAGCAAAACCACTGCCACACCTGCTCATGTATTTAAACTACCCTTTTATGTCATAAAGGGAGTGGACAGAGGGACTCTGTAGCCAACCCCCACGAGCAACATTAGGATAGGGCGGGAGAGACATGGGAGGTGAGGGACCTCTGACCTCAGAGCATGGTGCTGCTGTTGGCTCATGGGCAGCCAGGAACTATGCCTCTCTGTTTCCGAGGGCAGGGTTTCCTGCTCAATAAATGCCTCATAGTTGGGACTCCTTGGTTCCCAGGTCTGGAGTATTCCTGACCTGACTGGGGAAGGGGTGGAGGAGGTTACTTCAGGAGGTCTTCCAGCTCCCCAGAACCCCAGTGTCTGTGTGGCCAGGACACTGCTGCCTGTGTCTCTGGTCTCCCTGCATCCTCTGAAGAGTGCCAGCCCCTCACTAGACCTAGGCCTGTGAGGCAGCTTGGGATTCATCTTGGTGGAAGGCCCCCAGAGATTCCTCTGGGTGGGGATGGAGCTACAGTAGACTTGTGCCCCTTAGTCAGGCTGGGGGTCTCCCTGAAGGCCCTAGAATCACCAGGGCCAGCCACACCCTTGGTTGCCAAACACCAGGGTCTGAGTAATGTCCCTTCCCAGTAGCGCTGTGAAGCCCCAGACCAAATGCTTGTCCAGGGCCACATCCTGGACAGCCTCACCTCTCGCTCTGCCAGTGTCCGAGCTCTGTTTCTCCCCAGTGACTGCATCCCCTGGCTCTGTAGGCCTGGCCGGGCCCGATGACATCCTTGGTCTATTTCCAGGCCTCCCACTTCTTTTGGGCCCTTTGGGCACTTATCCAGAACCAGTTCTCCACCATCAACTTCGACTTCCTCAGGTGAGCTTGGGGTCAGGTGGAGGGGCGGGGCGGGGCAGGGCAGGGAGACCTTTGAGCCAGGGTGAGGGGACAAAGGACAGTCCCTGCCTCTGCCCTGCTGACCTTGGCCCCACTACAGCCTGTTTCCAGTGGGGTCACTGATCCAGGGAGGCCAGGGAAGCACCCCAAATAGTGCTTACAGCCCCTACTGTCCAGATCCTTCCCTTCCTGCTTCCCCTGCCACCAACCCCACAGCCAGAGCCTGGTGTCACGGTGATGCCCCTGCAAAGACTCAGACCTACCCTCTTCATCAGTGGCCATCAGTGATATTGGGGACCATAGCTAGGCTGTCCTTGACTATCAGCAAATTAAGGGTTCCCTTCACTTTGAAATACATGTGTGACCTATAAGCCAGGAATCACTTAATCCTTCATTCTGGTTCAGTATGTGTGTCCTTGTCCCCATCCAACCTGAGGGGCAAAGGTCAGCTAAAATAGAGAATCACTACCCTGGCTCTGAGGTCCCACAGCCATTAGAAACCCACAGGCCTGGCCAGGGAGTTAGCTCAGTAGTGTGAGCACTTGCCTGGTGTGAGGTTGTGAGTTCAGTCCCTGGTACCAAACAAAAATAAAGCGCAACAAAACAAAACTGCGGGCCCAAAGCCCAGCAAGATGTGGCACTCACAGTAGTCAGGGTATCAGCTACTAAAAAGTGAATGAATGAGGTCAGACATAGTGGCACGTAGCTGTCCCAGCACTTGGGAGGCAGAGGTAGGAGGATCAGGATCACCATGAGTTTGAGGCCAGCCTGGGCTATTTAGTGAGTTCAAGACCAGCCTCAACTACGTAATGAAACCGTGTCTCAGAAAACAAAAAAGGATGAAACCAGAACATGAGTAATGGCAAGGATGGGGAACAATTGCAACCAACACACACTGTTTGTGTTACTGTAAGTGGTGCGACCTATGGAAAACAGCGCGATGGCTTTTAGAGACTTAAAATAGAATGACCACGTGATCTGAGAAGCCTGCTTCTGAGGACTCATCCAGAAGAATTGAAAGCAGGATCTCAAAGAAGTATTTGTATACCCATGTTCCTAGCAACACGCCTGGTAGCTAAGGGGCTGTAGCAGCCCAGAAGTCTCAATTCATGCATGAATGGATGGTTTAGAATGTTATTGTCTTAAAAATGAAAAGGCCAGCTGGGAATTCAGCTCAGCTAAATAAGCACCTGCCTGGCAAGTGCAAGTTCCTAAGTTCCATCCTTGGTGCCAAAAAAAAAAAAGCCAGGTATGGTGGTAGACACTTGTGATCCCCATACTCAGGAGGCTGAGGCAGGAGGATCACTGCAAGTGTGAGGCCAGCTGGGCCTTATCTCAAATTAAAAAAAAATTTTAAAAAGTCGAAAAAGACCTTGACTCAAATTTAAAAATAAATAAAGAGGTAGGGAGGAAGTTGGACATGCTGCACCATGATGGATCATGAAGATTTTTTTTTGGATCAAACTCAAGACCTCACGTTTGCCACGCAGGCGCTTATGCCACTGAGCTAAATCCCCAGCCCATGACGATATTTTTCTAAGTGAAATTAGCCAGTTACAAAAAGACAAATATCATATGGTTCCATTGGGTAACTGTCAGATTTGTGTAAACAGAAAGGATGGCCGCTCAGCTAGGGTGAGGGGAGAGGGAATGTTGTTAAATGGGTATAGTTTGTTTTGCAAGATGAAAACGTTCTAGAGACTTCTTTGCGCAATCTTATGAGTATCAGCAGATTACAGACCTGTGAAAACAAAACCCCATGCAAACATGTTTGCTGCAGGGTTGCTCCTGTCTGATCTAACAAATCAATCTGGACCAGGAGGAACCCACCAGAGCTAGCTGGGCTTGCAGCAGCCGAGAGCCCCCTTCCCTGGCCTCCCATCTCACACGGCTTCCTTTCTGGCTGCTGGCAGGTACGCAGAGATCCGATTCAACCAGTACTTCAAGGTGAAGCCTCAGGTGTCAGCCCTGGAGATGCCCAAGTGACCAGCGCCCTGATCTTCCCTACCCATACGGCTCTGGGGTCCACACCCTTGGACAAGGTGGAGGAGGGGAGAGGCAGATGCCAGGAAAGAGGCCCCTGGTGGATGCCACTGGAAAGACCTCATTCTCCTGTCTGGCAGGGCTGACAGGATCCAACACTGGGGGCCCTGAGCTCAGCAGGCTAGGGAGGAAGTGCCTGCAGACAGCCAGGGAAGCTACCACTCCCAGCCCTAGGCCTGCTGGTATTGGACTGCCTTAGATGTGTCTTTGACCCTTCCTGGCAGGGGGAGGGGAGGTTCTTTTCTACCTCTGATGCCCTAGCCTCCAGCATGTCCTCACACCCATGTGGCAGGTCCCACGTGGGAGGTGCTGAACCCCAAACCAGCCTCAGGCCAACTTGGGCTGCTTGAGGTCCACAGCCTGGGGAAGGGCCCTGGAATCCAGCCAGCAGCTGCCTGGTCAGAGCCTTCACTTGCACCAGGACAGCTATTCCTTCCCAAGCTGCAGACAGGAAATGTTTCCTTCCACTCTGGCCCTCAGTTGCCTGCTGGGGTGTCAAAAGGAGTGGCAAGCCCTTCCTCCAAAGCCTGGGTCTGTTGTGACTTAGCCAGAGGAGACGGGGCCAAGGGTGGGGTGGCCGGCACCAGGGCCTCCCTTCCAAAGGTCTGTCTCTTGTCTTCCCCGTCCATGCCAGAGTTAACCCAAGGTCTTTACACACAAGAATGACTGATTGGGGTCAAGGGGAAGAGGGCCAGGGGTCTGCAGGGTCCTGCACTCTGGGGCCCAGATCATGAAACTGCCGACTGAGCTTTGTGTCCGTGACACTCGGCAGCCCCCATCGCCCTTCTGTCCACAGAGCTTCTCCGGTGTCTCATTTGTAAAGTATCGTGGATTTATGCATTAAAATGTTCATTTCTGGACTGCTGTGAGGGACCTGACCTGGTGGGATTAGGATTCCTGCAGAGAAGGGCTGAGGTGTGCCCCACCCTCCCTGTTGTCCCCATGTGTAAGTCACTGTAGCAGTGGCCTATACCCCTTGTCCAAGACTCCCCTGGGTCACAAGCCCCATTGACCTGGGCCAGGGCACTCTGGCCTTGAGCTTCTTGCTAGAATCGGTTGACCCTGGTGGCAGGATTGGGCCGTGGCTACAGGAACTGGAGGCTGCGCAGCCATGGCAGTGGGGCAGTGGAGTACCACAGAATGGGTGATTGCTAGCCTGGGTTGACTTTGGGGCAGGAAAGGGGGCAACTCTTCCCAACAAGAGTGATTCCTGGGACCAGTCTTACTTTCTGTGAAAGACAGCAGGAAGAGCAGAAAATCAAAGGTGACGGGGGCTGGGGAGTTAGCTCAGCGGCATAAGCACCTGCCTTGCAAGCAGGCAGTCATGAGTTCGATCCCTGGTACCGATAAAAATGAAAAAGACCAAAAAAAAGTGAAAATATTTCAAGTCACAGAAGCTGCCTGCTAGGTGGGCTGTGGTGTGGCTTTTGCCTGCCAGTGTGCAGCCATAGCAACCATTGGACCTTGCACAGGCAGCTGGGGCCTTCAAGGTCACAGTGATCCAGAGGGCTGCTCATAGAGACAGATCCCAGGTGACCAAGGTCCTGCTCTGCCTGTGGACTGACCATGGTATCTCCTGGAGCTTGGGGGCAGAATCCATTCCCCCCCCCCCAAGTCAGCTTCATTTCTAGCCTCCTGGGGCCTGAAAGTCACCACAGGGAGTGGTTGCCAGAGCCCCCTGTGGTACTGTCCTGTGTAGAGGCCCAGGCCACCACCTGCATGGGTGGAGCAGATCCCAGCACCCTCCCACTGCCTTTGGTTGGGGGAGGAGGTGGGTAGCCTGAGCCCTGACCTTTCCTGTGTCTGCCCCCAGGCTAACTGGCTCCGTGCCAAGCCTTGCTGTGGTCTGCTGTCCCTCCCCTCCTCCCCCCAAAAAATCCTGCGCCAGCTCCAACGGGCAGAGGGCAAGCTTATGGCCCAACCTTCTTAGTTAAAAATGACCGGGCCACTCCGTTCCCAGCGTTCCTGCCTCTCCTGGGACAGGGGGTGGGGCTTCAGTGCTGGCAGCTGGAAAGAGGCCAGCAGGTCGCAGGTAGTTGCCTCACCCCACCCCCGAGACCACGGAGGATTTGGGAACAGGGCAGCTAGAGAAACTCAGGCCTATGAGGGTGAGTCCCCAGGAGACCACTAGGATGCAGTCGGTCTGGGAGACTAGCAGTTCTGCGCGACAACCACTAGGGGGAGCGGGGAGGAAGGAAAGCGTCCCTGGCCAGGCTCTTCCCGCAGGTGCCCAAGCAGGCACCAAGGAGCAGCTGCGCACGCGCGCAGGGGAAGCTGACTCCCGAGGGTTGGGTTATGAAAGTCCCACGGGCCTGCAGCCTCGCGGGTCTGTGGCCTGGCATCCATTAACCTGACTTTAGAAGCTCCATCATTTCGCCAGTATTCAAGTCTCTGCTTCTATACATCCTGTGTCTTCAAGATGCACACCTGTAATCACACACAGGAGGCTGAGGCAGGAGGACCTTTGTGGACCTCTGAACCCTGTCTCAAGACAAAACATCCAAAACATCTTCTCTAGAACATCTTTATAAAAAAAAGTAGTTAAGCCGCAAACCTCCCTGCACCCTTGCCCCATGGCTGTGCAGCAAGCCATCCTGTCCTGCCCACCGCCTGGACCAAACCTCCCTTGTCGTGTTAACCGTTTCTCTTAAGGACACGGCCACCAGGACCCTTCCAGGCCTCCTCCATGCAGGGTGCGTGCTTCTCAGCTTCTCCAGGGGCGGACGGCCTTAGAGCAAAGGAAAAGCTGCCACCCACGAAAACTGCCGCCAGGGGGCAGCAGTGCCCCAGGCACCTCCCTTTGCTGTGAAGGTCAAGCCTGTGTGACTCTAGCAGGCCTCTTTTCACAAGAACTGCCACTGCCTGGTCATTCTAGGCTGCTAGGGTTAATTTTTAACCACAGGTGGTAACTTTTGCAGACCATCATTTACATACACTTTTTAAGTCACCCTTTCTGCCTTTTGAGGACCCTTAGTTCCCCTGAGATAATGAGGCCTTTCAGTAGAAGCACATCATTAGCCTCCAGGCATGGATCCTAGCACCCGTGTCTGAGCCTTTTTCTGGGAGAAGCCCACAGCTGGCTTTAGATGCTTCAAGTGCAAGAAGGTTAGAACACTAAGTTTGGCTATTTTGTTTGTCTTTTTGAGACAGGGTCTCCTAGGCAGTACTGGCTGGCTTGGAACTCACTTTATAGCCCAGGCTGGCCTTGAAATTGCAGCGATCAAAAAAAAAAGAAATTGCAGCGATCCTCCTGCCTCCGCCTCTCGAATGCTAGGAACACAGAGTTTAGCACCCTTGTATTCAGGTGCAGGCAGCAGAGACTCAGCGTTGGCCTGGACCTCGGCAGCCGGAACCACTTTCCCAGGACCGCGGCTGTAACTCCCACAGGCTGCCACCAGGGGGCGGCGGTACCCAGGCTGCAGCGCTTGAGGGATTCTCTCCCTCTTCGTAGTAGGGACCCATTGAAATGGTCTGTCTTTATTACGCCATCAGAAAACAAATGTGCTGGTTAAGTTACTCATTATCTCATTAACAAAATAAAGCACTATCTATGTTTACAGTCATAAAAAAGAAACAGCCTGGAAGGAGGGGACCTGGGGCGGGGAGGAGGTGGGAGCACGCCCAGGGGGATTAAGGGTCCCCACACGGATAGATGGGAGACCTGGAGTCAGGTGCCAAAGAGACCGAGGTTCTTAGGGAACACTACCTGCTCAAGCCAGTGAGGAACCGTTCCCTAGTGCGGGGAACCCCTGGAATTTACGAATGGGGAGCCACCCGCCCCAACTCGGGAGGGAATGGAGGCCAGCCGCCACGGGGTCGGTCCCTCCCTGGGCCTCCATCACCCACAGAAAAGGGGGCGCCGTCAACTCTGCCAGACTCCTGGGCCTCAGCCTGCACCCAGAGGTCAGGCACAGGACAAAGCCCTGTGGAGGCTGAGGCGCATTCTTCTGTCGCTGGGAGCTAAAAATGGCTGGTTGGGAACCGACTGGCAGAGCCGGGAGGGAGGTCAGGGGTCAGGAGGGCTGACAGACCTGGTGGTCCAGGGGCCTACAGAGACCCAGAGAATCCAGAGGGCACGGAGGGCAGGGCCAGACAGTGAGCAAGGGAAACAGAGAGGGCCTTGCAGAGACAGGGACAGATGTGCACACAGACACACAGAACCTGAGACACCCAGACTGACAAAGAGGTAGCAATTTGGGGACAAAGAGAAGCACAGAAGAGGCCCCCAGAGAAGCAACAGTGGCCGGCACATAGTGGGCACGCAATAAATACCTTGTGCAATGATGGATGAAAACACAGGCATGAACACACACACGCACAAACGTTCGCACACACGCATGCACACACACAACAGCCAGAGGCACAAAGGGCTTGGCAGAAACAGACAGGGACAGTCAGACCCTTTTGCAGAGTACAGAGTGATCCTGGTGACAGAGGCATGATCAGGAGTGTGCATGTGGGGGAGGGGTTGGTCCCACAGGACAAGCATGGAATCAAAGCACAGGACCTGGGGGGACAGATGTGCAGCTGCCACACTCCAAGGTGGCAGACCTGCCAGAGGGTCATCCAGTGTCCCCTGCAGGGGCCAAGGAGCTCAGCCAGCTGGCCCATCACTGCCATGCAAGTCCTACCACCAAGGCCAGGGCTCTTGGGTGTGCCCAAGGGCGTCTCCGGGAGAAGGGCTCTCCCCTGGCCAATGTATCTACAAGTACACAGCTTCGACCATCCCTGGGCATCCCCAGTCCAAGTACCAATGTAGTCCAAGCCGGCAGGCTGCGCCCCTGGCGTGGGGCAGGGTTCGCCCCAGTGCGGAGGGCCAGGCTCAATGCTGGCTCAGTCTGTGAGCACCACCAGCTCCCCGTCACTCTTGTCTTCGCCCTCGGAGTCCTCGTCCCCGCTGTACCGGTACATCTCGCCGTCAGCCACCGAGTGCCTGTCGTCAGTGCCCTCTCCCTCCTCCCTGAGGCTGCAGGTGTTCACGATGACAGGCATGTTGGGGTCCAGGCTCTGGGGGACGTAGTGCTCCACCAGTGGCTGTGCCAGAGGCACACCTGCTGCCCGAGGGTACAGGACGTCTGAGGAGCTCATCTGTACCTGACCAGCCTGTGGGCTGAGAAACCAAGGGGGGGCGTAGTTATGGGAGGCCCCTGGCACTTCTCCACCCCAACCAGCTGCCCCCGGGGCTCCCCGGCCTGCCCTCTCTTGGCTCCGGGAGGCATACAGGTCCCTGGTCTGTCTCCTGATAGCCAAACTCACTGTCAGCTACTGCAGAGTCAGATAAAGGCTCTCGCATGTGGATCCAATTTGGGGAAAGTGTGTGTCCTAGGCGTCCTGGGGCACACTCTAGGTGCTTGCTCTGGACAGGATGAATGCTTTTAGTACCCTGAATTTGTATTGGTTTGTCAGCAATGGAATCTCCAGGCACACACGGCCAGACCCCACACTTAAGTCACATGTCCAAGTCCTCAGTCACCAACACAGGTGGGGCCCATCACCCCTGGTGCACAGCACCTCGTCACATGAACAGGCCGGCCACACACAAATGCCACTCTCTCCTGTAACTACACACACCCTGCCACTGGCACCCGAGAACAGCCTGCTCACGGGATCACGTAGCTCTGGCGGGCATCCTGGCGGCGGGTCCTCATCAGGGCCTTGTATTCACCCACGCGCAGACGCTTGCCCTCCACGATGCAGGTGCGCTTGGGCCTCGGCTTGTACTTGTAGTCGGGGTACTTCTCCAGGTGCTGCCGGCTCAGCCGCGCCTGCTCCTCGTAGTAGGGCTGCTTCTCCTGGTTGCTCATGGACTTCCAACGGGAGCCTGGCCCGGTCCCAGGGGCAGACAGTCAAGCCGGGGCTCTGCCAGCCGGCTTCCAGCCCCCAGCAAGCCCTGTCAGCCCCAAGAAGACTTTGGTCCCCAGTGGGGTCGATAAGGGGATGCATGTGTCCAAGCAACCAAAGTGGAAGAAATGAACCAAGTGGCCAACAACCCCTCGACTTCCCTGAGGCCTCTGCCTCATTTGAGTTAATAACAGAGCAGCCACTCCAGGCCACCAACAACCCCAGACAGACCCCTGCTTAAGACAAAGACCCAGGTCAGCTCATTAGGGATGAACCAGCAGTGGTGAAAGGCTCGCAAAGCATGTACCCAGCAGATCCTGGGTTTGATCCCCAGCACTGCAGAAACAAAACCAAAAGCCTCGGTGTCTCAGATGAGTGACACTGGCCTGGAAGGAGCCTCAGTCTTAAAAACAACTGCTCTCTTCGAGTGCCATCTGCCCTGCCCTGTAACTCGCCTTGATCTCCAAGACTCCTAATATTTGGAATCTCTTTTCTAAGTCGTCCGAGTACACTAATTTCTCCTGTTTTCTGCCCCAGGCATTCCCTGGGTCTGGGCAAACGAGCTGAGGTGAGGAAGCAAAGAACACACACGGGTGCTTGATTCTGAGAAGCCAAGACCCCAGGACCGAGCTGCCCTTCCATCCTCTGGATCCCTTCAGATTCCACTGGAGTCCTGCATGGCCTGGACACTGCCAAGCAAGCCCCAGCTGGCTCCTGTGTCCAGGCCCCAGCACCCCAGAGCGCCCCCTACTGATCCTCACCGAGTATCTTACTGATGCTGGAGTTGTGCATGTCCGGAAAGGCTTGCAGGATCTTCCTCCGCTCATCCTTGGCCCACACCATGAAGGCGTTCATGGGCCTCTTGATGTGGCTGTTGTTTCGGGACTCAGGGAAGTGACGGGAGCCTGGGGAACGGATCAGTGACTCAGCCTCAGCTGGGGCTGGAGTGAATCCCCCAGGTGACCACCAGGAGGCGCTGAGGAGGCGCCCGCGGCTGCAGCCCTCACCGTCCATGTCACAGGTCAGCATGGCTTCTTCCAGAGGGTGCACACAGCTGTCCTCCAGCCGCTCCTTGGCTGGGGATGAGTCCAAGCTGATGAGGTCCTGGGGTTGACAGGGACAACTTGCACATGAGCCTCCTCTGTGTCAACACTCTGTGCCCACCTTGCCTAACCCTTTGGTGGCCTCAGGGACAAAGGAGTAGGCCCATACCTTGCGGAAAGGGGTGCTGGGGGAGTTCTCCAAGGCCCCGCTGTGGCTGTGCAGCAGCTGCCGGGCGTCCTGGATGGCTTTGGTGACAGGATCCCCTTCCCCGAGGAAGCCTGTGTGAGAGGAGGGTGACAAGAGGAAGGGGAGCGGAGGAGTTCGTCCCAATCTATGCCCAAACCCCAAGAGTTGCCCGAGTTCAAGCGCTCCCTGTCCTCCGCACGCACTGTCTGGGGTCAGTGTCAACAGATGTGGCAACCAGGCAATACAGGGAGCCTGATGAGTTGGGACAGATCCAGTCCGGGGAGGAGGTAGGGCAGCCCAGGCTCCAGTTTTAAAAACTAGAACCCAGAGAGGGAAAGGACATGCTGCCCAAGGTCTGGTCCCCTGGTTGACTCTCCCCAAGAAGAGGCCACTAGACAAGGTGCAGAAAGCTTACCCAGAGGCAGGCTAGGTGGGCTGGGTGGCCGGTCCCGTGGGGCAGCCCCATGGCTGGGGGGTCGGGGGCCGCAGGTGCCCAGCTTCAGACTGGGGGAGCTGGAGGTGTTGGGCAGCTCAGGAGCCTTGGGCTTGGCTGTGAGGTTCAGGGGCTGAGAGGCCTCCTGGGGGACATCAAGGAGGTCAGGGAGGGGGGCATGACAAAGGAGCCCCCACCACAGCACAGACAGGACACAGGTCAACGTGGGACGAGCATGCCTGGACAGCATAGCAGAGACAGACACAGCATAGCAGAGGCGAGGGGAGGGGACAAAGGGCAGTGGCCTGTGGGCACAGGGCTCTACCTGCAGGGGGTGGTGGGCGGCCATGGCCCCCGGCCTCTTCACCACGGGCGCGGGGGGGCCGTGCAGCAGCGGCAGTGGGTACTCCACTGTGGAAAAGCGGCAAGGAGAAAAGTCCTGGATGAGCACAGAACAGCAGACGCCTGATGACGAGGTCCCGGGACCACGAGTGGGTGGAGGCTCGGAGCTGGCCGGGCAGGTTCCAACCCTGCCCTCCCTGGCCCCAAAACACTGCGAGGACCCCAGTTCCCTCCTTCTCCCGGTGTCCTCACTCTGTGCCGCCCCTCTCGACCCACTCTGGAGCTCATTAGTAAACAGACACTGGTATTCCCACTGCTCAAAGGGTGCAAGCAAAGCCACCTGCTGGGAGAGGCACCATGTGCCCCGGGTCCTTCTACTGCAGTGAGCAGCACATAGTAGGTGCTCAATGTGTTATTACAGCTAAAGAAACCTTTGGGAGACCCATGGGTCACCCACACAGTTATTAAACGGCAGCAGCAGGATTCAAACCCAGGTCCTTGCGACGCCACAGCTCCTTCCCCTCAATCTGTACCCCCCCACACTTGGAGTATCCTACCTACCCCACCACACCCTCCCTCTGCCAGGCCCAGTGCCAAGGAGGCAGGACAGTTCGGGGAGAGAGGAGCCCTGGGCAGAGATCACTAAGCACATGGCAGGTGGAAGGGCCACAGGTGGCATGTTGGAGAACTTTGTCCCAGCCAGGTGACCCCAGCAGGCTTCCTGAGGAGGAGATGTAAGCTAGAGCCTGCACTGGGTTGGGGCTGGAGTGAGTGTGAAGCTGGGGGCAGGGCAAGGTTGGCCCCAACTCAGGATTGTGTGCCTCGATGTAGGCCTTGAGCACTGGCTAAGACTCGTGGAACAGGGCAGGGGACCAGCGAGACTGGGTTGACGGCTGTCACACACTCCTGGAGCAATTATGGGGAGCAGGTCTATTCCACTCCCTAAGCCAATAACCCGTCTCTGTCCCTGTCCTCAACTCTTCAATGATCGACAGCCCCTTCGGGACCCTGCCTCAGGCCAGTGCCCTCTGTGGTCCCTACAGAGGCACACTTGCTACCCAAACGCCAGGGGCACCCACATCCTGAGTAAATCCCAGACCTGAGCCTCCCTCCTAACCTCCCTCCCCAGCCACATCCCAGCCTGTCACATGCCCCCTCAATGCCACCACCACCTAGCAGCTTCCACCTCAGTCCAGGGCCTCCGACTGCATCACCTTCCAAAAACCCTCCACCTCCACCTCCCAAATGCCACCTTCTCAGCCACCCGCCCAGACTCCCCAGGATCGTTACACCCCACACCACACCCCCGGCTGTCAGCTCCTCGGGCTCAGAGTTCATCCTTCACCACCCCCCGGCTTGCCAGCCAACTGTAACACAGTGCAGGGTACACGGTCACTGATGAGACATGGCCAGAGCAGGGACAAGAGTGTGAAGGTTGCTAGAATCAAGATGGCTGGGCCACAGTCATGCTGACATCCTAGCACGTAAGTGTTCAAAGTGGAGAGACATCCTCTTCCATCCGGGAAGTGCTCTGTGGTTGGAAATGTGCCCTGTTTGTTCTCCTACTGGACAGATCCAATAAAGGAAGGCCACACCACAAGTAAACGGGTAAATGAATGGATGAGAGTGGATCAGGGCTTCCCTCCGGCCTCAGGACAAGCCAGCCTCAGCAGCAGCCTCTGCCCTCCCAAACTCACCTGGTTTGCAAGGAATGGGCTGAATAGGCAAAGCCAGCTGGGAGTCCGGGGTGACAGGCAGAGGCTGGTGGCTTGGGGGAAAGGCTGGGATCATGACATAAGGCATGTTGACCTGCTAAAGGCAAAGGACCTCATGTGACCCAAATTGCTCCCCAGCTGTGGTCAGCCCAGGACACAGAGGGTGGGGCCCCTCTGACCCACACTGGCTTTAGAAGCCCAGCCTCCTTGCCCTTGGGTCTCAGCGGGGACAACATTCTGCCACCCATGCCCACCCCCTTATAAAGGAAGAAGCTGCAGCCACAAGAAGGGCCCATCATTGGGGTGAGGCCGAGTGACTCAGCTTGCTCAGCATTCCTGGTCCCCAGCAGCTTCCTAGCTGGTGTCACTCCTGCGCCCCTGCTCTGAACTCCGAGGCAGGCCCCGTTACCTGTATCTGCTGCTGAAGGAGGTTGATCTTATGCTGCTGCTGAATCAGCTGTTGTTGCTGCTTGGCGATCTGGGAGAGGAAGAGCAAGCCAAAGAGTCACAGGCACCGAGCTGGTGTCCACAGTCCCCCAGAGCCTGCCCACCCGGCCAGCCAGGCCTTCACCTGCTCCTGCTGCTGCCGAGCCAGCTCCATCTGCTGCTGCTGCTTCTCAAACAGCATGGCAGCCATGTTCTTCTGCTCAGAGTGGGCTGTCAGGAGCTGGTCCCGCAGGGTGGACAGCTGGTGGATCATGACCAGGAGCTGCAGCTCCTTTTCTGCCAGGCTCTCTTGGGTCCCTGCTCCCCGGGGGAACAGTCACCACGGAGAGTTCTGGTTAGTTCACCTGACCATTTGACATTGACCGGGCAGTTGCTACGTCATCCCAGGATCCTGTCAGGCACCTTACTAACTTCTCCTTTAGAACACTTTAGGGTGTTCTGTTTTGTTTATAATAATGGGGTCTGAACCTAGGGCCTCATGCATGCTAGGAAACACTGTGGCACTGAGATACACCTTCAGCCTTCTTCAGTTTTTAATTCTGACACAAGGCCTCACTAAATTTAAGGCTGGCCTTAAATTTGCAGTCCTCCTGCCTCAGCCTCCTGAGTAGCTGGGATTACAGGCACTATATATGACCTGGGTGTTTTTAAAAATCTATCAACAGGCACAATAGCAGGTACCTCACTGCTCTGGAATCTGGTGTGTGATCCTCCTTTAGCACGTGTTAGCTGGCTGGGTTTCTCTGCCCACCCATTTATCCAATGTCTGTGCAGCAGACCATTCCCGCTGCAGGCTGCTGGCCATCTGCACCAGAATCACTCAGGGTGCCTTTGAGAACTACCGGTGCCCGGCCGCCAGCCCCTAAAGCTCTGTCTGGGGGGGTCAACCTCAATGGGAAAACACGTGCTGGAGGCACCCAGACAGCAGCCCCCTAATAGCCTCTCCTCCATCGGTGAGGTCCCTGTAGCCTAGATCAGTTGTCAGAAGTAAAACCAAGTTTCTGAAAGGAGAATGACAAGTCTGATATTACAAGTGTCCCTCATCCAGGGTCAGCATCCCTGGGTTTTGAGGGTTTTGAGTCAGGCCCTGCAGGCCTTTTCTATACGGCGATGAATCAGACCTACTGCTTGGGATCACCTGTGAGGGATGGCGATGACCCCTAGGGCCAGGAAAGAGTCAAGCAGCACAGGACAGGTACGAAGCCAAGAACCACTCTGCCAGCCCAGACTGCACAGCCAGGGCAGCAAGAAAGGCCCTCACCTTTGACATCTTTGGTTTCCACAGAGTTCTGTCCCAGAAATCTTTCTTTCCAGTCACTAGATAGTAGCTTCTCGATGGCCGGCACCACTGGAAGACATCAATGGCTGAGGAGAGCTGCTCTGACACTTCCCACCCAGGCCACCCCTGCCTGGGACTCCTCTTACCCTCTTGTAGGTTGCGGTTGAAATCCAGCTTCTCCTGGCTTCCAGAAGCTGCTTCAGAGGCGCCTGGTCGCTTTGGCTCTGGGGACCTGCCACTCTCCGGAGAGCTGCACTCCTGTGAGATGCACTCAATTGTTGCCCACCCAAGGGGACCCCAGGCTCCCCTCTGCCTACTGCTCCACCCAAAAGGCCCTCCACACTCCACCCCTCAACCTCTGCTAACCCTTTACCTGATACCATGTAAAGGGCATAAGAAATTTGAGGACCACAGGCCTGGGTCCAGGGCTCCCCAGGGCTCTCCCCCACTCATGTCCCTAAATTTCTCACTTCCTTGCAGAAAATGGATATGCCAATCTCTCCCAGGTCACAGGAGAGTGGCTGTGTTTCAGGGGTGTTAAAGCATGTAAATAGGGTTTGCCCCAGCACAGGGGCTGGGGGCCAGCTATTAATTATTAGTCCTGGATATACCCACTGCCCCAGCCCCGCCTGCCCAAAGGAAAGGGTGCTCCTCTCCCCACCAGGGAGTCCTCCCCACCCCTGAAGCGCTGCTCCTCCAGGAAGTCCTTCTTGACCACACACTTTCCCCAGCTGGGTCCCTCCTGGAAACCCCACACACTTATCTTCACTCTGGTTTTTTAATTATATATCTCCTTTTTATTGTCTTTGACTTAGAATTTTCATGCACTAGCAGAATTCTTAGTGACTATGTGGCTCAGTTCCCCTGCCTTGAAGACTGAGGAACTGTATGGGTTCTTAACAGTGACGGGAAAAGGGTGATAGGCTGATTGTCTCCAATCACATGAAAAAGCTGGCAGCTTCCTTTCGAGCCAGACTCTCATACGCATCCTGTCCCCACAGCTAACCCTGGCTAGCAGTCACCACCAGGCAGTGAATCTACGTCTCGGTCCGACAGGTGACCTGGCTGGAGTGGGCAGCCCCTCGGCTCCCCTAAGCTGCGCCTCAGCCCTGCTGACCCTTCCCTCCGGCATCTGCTGCCTGCCCAGCCAGTGCTGTGCTCGGGGGTGTGCCACAGAGGCACGCCAGGGACGCTGCCCCAGGAGACCCTGGGAAAGCATTGGGCACCTGAGCAGGAGCTTGGGGGTCAGCGGCAGCCGGGGGGTCCCGCGCGGGGTCTCCAGGCTGGGGCTCAGCCACAGCAGCCGAAGCCTGGGGGGCCTCGTGACAAGCGTCCTTCTTCTCCTCAGACTTGATGGTGCAGTTCACCATGGTGCCAGCGCCATCCAGGGCCAGCTGGGCAGAGACGGGGCTCCTCATGGACATCCTGGAGGAGGAGGAAGGGCAGGGTGGAGGCGCGGCCCCGCCCTGGGCTGCCCCATCCCGGCACCTGCTGCACCCCTCCTGCGGACACGCGCACTTGGTGGTGTGCGCCTGCCTACTTCCGGAGGCCACAGGGAAGTCAGAAGAACGCTCTTTAGCCTCTCGTGCTTTATTTCGTTTGTTCATTTTTTAAACAAAAAGGTCTAGAGACAACTGGGCCTCCCCTCCAGTACTTCCAGCCTGCTGCAACGCTGGTACTATGGGGACCCGGTCCTCTAAGAGGTAAACCATCGCGCATGCGCGTGATTAGTTACAAGATGTACACACCCAGAGGCAGTACATTACAATCTGGATTTGAACTTCTAGCACAATGGCAAACTGAATAGAATTCAGTAGCCAGCGCTCCTTATGCCCAGGCCAGTTAGTCTTGGTTGCCACCACTCCACCAAAGGGAAACCAAGTATCAACTACCCTATGTAAGGCATTTATTCTTTCTTGGGGTACTGAGGGTAGAGGCCAAGGCCCATGCATGCTAGGAAACACTTTACCACTGGGCTACACTCCAAGTTCATCATTCTTATCACACAGGAGATAAAAAACAAAATATTTCTTATATTCATCCATTCATTAAAAGTGGGAAAAATTAGCCAGGGAGGTGATACACACCTATAATCCCAACAGCTAGGAGCCTGAGGCAGGAGGGTTGGGAATTCAAGTCTTGCCTGGGTAACTTAATGAGACCCTGTCTCAAAAAATAAAAATGGCTGGGGATATAGCTCAGTGCAAAGGTGTTCAGTTCAATTTATTCATTCATCTCTCTCTCTCTCTCTCTCTCTCTCTCTCTCTCTCTCTCAGAAAACAACTGACACACCAAGAGGTAAGTGGCTTTAAGAAAAATATTTTGATATTCAGCTCAGTGTCCAGTCCGCAGGTGATCTGCATTTGCGATCCTGTTTCTGCAGCTCCTAAACTGGCACCCTCTCTGGAGAGGCAGCCTCTGCTGTGCCTGTCCCTGCCTCCCTTTCTACCATCTCACTGTCTGGCACATCTAGAGGGGCCAAGCAATTGCAGGACCACGGATGTGGTTTCTGTGCTCATGCCAGGCTGGGGCTGAAGCAGTAGGTGCCTACCCTCCCAAGTCACAGGACAGGTTCTGGGCACTGGATGGAATATAAGGCAGGTTCCCAAGTGGCCGGGGCCCTGCATAGATTAATGAGCCCACTGTGTGGTGCTGCGCAGGCTACTTGGCTTCTCTACACCTCAGTCTCCACGTCTTGCACGGCAGGCATGAGGCTCACACGTTGGCATTTACATGTGCTTACAGCAGTCGGTGGCAACAGAAAGCACAGATCTGGTGTTTGTTAAACCACTGCAGTTGGATTGTGTTACAGTTGTCCCTTGCAATCTGCAGGCCTCGACCCCAAACTCCTGTAATACCAAACTCCAAGCTGCCCAAGTCCCCTTTATACAACGGCGCTGCATTTTCATATTGCTTGCAAACGTCTTACATACACTTTGACTCACCTCTGGGTTACTCATAACTACTACAATATAAACACTACGTAAACAGTTTTGCTTAGGGAACCAAGATCAATGGGGGGATTTTTATCATTTGGTTCAATCTATGGGTGTGGAACCCACTGTCAGAGGTCCAGTTGTAGGAAGACCAAAGGGGCTTTGTTTGAGGCAGTCATGGGTCCCTGTCACAAAACAGAATTTCCAGGGATGGTACTAGGGATCTTAACAACCCTCTGGATGAATGTGACACACACTAGCTAGAGGAGTGCTGTTAGGGAAGTAACAATTCTCCAGCATATGTTCACAGATACTGTGTGTGAACACAACCCATAAAGCCAAGCTGTGGGAAACTCCATGCCCAATGGAGTGGCAGCTGACGCCAAGGTGGTGGGGTTAGGGTTTGTCACAATTCGATGGGCAGGGTAAGCATAACAAAGGCAACAAAGCCCTGGACAGGTGCCAGACCCTCAGCCTCAGGGCTGATACACTGCTCATTTAAAATGACCATACCTGAGCTGGGCATGGAGGCTCATCTAGTAGTCCTAGCACTCAGGAAGCTGAGGCAGAAGGATCACTGTGAGTTCAAGGCCAGCCTGCACCACACAGTGAGACCCTATCTGCTGGGTGTGGTAGCACAGGCCTAATAATCCCAGCATTTGGAAGGCAGACGCAAGAGTTCCAGGCCAGCCTGGGGGCTACACAGTGAACTCAAGGTCAGCCTGAACTGCATACAAGATCCTGTTTCAACATAAAACCACCTTATCTGTGTTACTCTGTTATAGCAGCAAAAAGCAAGAGTTCAATTTTTAGAAGACGTGTAGGGCAAGAAAGTCAGATATAATAATGAGTCCCTTAAACTAGAGTATAGTACAGTCAATACAATAGCACCGCACATTCTTGGGGAGATCCATTCACTAGCACAGGCTGAGCCATGGGTAGTACCAGGCCCTGCAGGTACTGTTGTTTCCTACACACACAAAGGTAATGTCGCATCCATCTGAATTAAGTGCTTCTCAGGCACCATGTGCCTGTAACTTGCAGCTTGAACAGCAAGAGCAAAACCAGCACACATTTCTTCTTTCTTCAGTTTCACAGATTACAGATTCATTCTTCCCGTGTTTATTAGTAACTTTAGCATACCATTTTTCTTTTTCTGCTGAGAACTTTTCAGCTCATGGGAGCACTATAATGGCTTCTTTTTGTCTTGTCCCATCTATCAAGTAAAATAAGGGTCACTTGAGCCAGGGCTCAGAAGAACCACACAACAACCACCTAGGAACCCGATGGTTCCTAAGTGACTAAGGAGCAGGTAACCTATACAGCGTGGATACACTGGACAAAGGAATTAATCACATTCAGACCGAGGTTTCATCACACTGTTGCAGCAAAGTGGAATTAAAAACTTATGAGCATTATTTGTATCTGGTAACCGAAACTTGGAAAGTGAAACTCTGGACTAGGAGGGTGAACTACTGTATTTGTATAGGACATCAATTCTGTACAGATTGTATCAACTCTGTAAGATGGTTTTTGTAATGTAACACTATAATGAATCATGCAGTGTTGCAGCGCCACATACAATGGAGCATAAAAGGGCATTATAATTGACTAAGACAGGCCTGTATTTGATTGGATTCCACCCTACAGGTCAGACAATACCAGACTCTCCAGCCCACCCACTTTTAAATTGCAGGGTTCCCTGAGGGCTGATACTGGACCCAAGGCAGGCAGGGAAGACAGGAGTCTTCCTGACCCCGTGAAGATCAGCCCCAGCTCACCTAGACTAAGCGGAGACCCCAGCCTAGCTTGCCTGAGGTCCCCTCCCACCACGGGGGCGGAGCGCCTCCAGGAAGCAGGCAGCTCGGCCCATCCGGGCACCGGGAGGGGCTGCAAGCCAAGCCCTGGGCAGGAGGGGGCGTGAGGAGTGGGGGTGGGGCGTGGGAGGGGGTATTATCCTGAAGCTGAGGGCAGCAATTACATAACAAACAAACCCCAGGCTCAAGCTGTGAATTAATCAAACCGCTGAAAATAAAACCTTCCTCTCAGGAACTTCAGACAAAAGAAATGAAAACAACCAGGCTGGCTGGAAAATAAAAGGCAGCAGCGCTGAGAGGGGGACAAAAGGAAACCAGACAATGGGGTGTTGGACAAAAGCAATAAAGCCAAAGGAAGTGTGACAGGCGCACAATGCGGGCCTGTGGGCTTCTGATCCCCGCGGCTCTGTGCCACCTCGTCCCCACCGCGGCCAGGCGGGCCACCAGGTCGCCTCCTCTATCCAGACTTGGGTCTTACGGGTTTTCTCCTTCATTCTGCCCCAACTTCATGACCTTCCAACTCCTGCCTTAAAGCCTCTCTTCCCACTGCAGCCCAGGGATCCCAGCAGCAGGGAGCACGGAGTTCAGCCCGCGGAACAGGCACAAAGGCTAAGGCCACCCGGCGGGGCGGGAGCTGGGCGTCCGTCCCTCCCCAGAGCTCAGGGGGATCTGTCCTGATGAACTGTAGCAGCATCGCACTGCCCCACAGGCGCTACTGGCCACAAGTGGGTCCTGAGCACCAACCAAGCAGCCAGGCCTGGAGGAAATGTGCTTCGAGTGTCAAAGACCCAAGCTTCAGACGCTTAGGACACAGCACAGCATGTACATCAGCCCGTTCGTAACTGTTTACCAATTATAAACTGAAATTATACTTTGGATGGATTGGGTTAGATGATGGGGGAGGGGTGTTGGGATTGAACCCAAGGCTTTGTATTAAGCTACATCTCCAGCCCTTTGGGGGAAAAAAACTTTTGTTTTTTTAAAATTTCAAAACAGGGTCTAAATCACTAAGCTGCCCAAACTGGGCTCAAACTTGTGATCTACTGCCTAATCCTGGGATTACAGGCGTGTACCACCATAACTCAATTTAGATAAAATACATTGTTAAAATTGATCTCCACTGTTTCCTTCTGTGCCTTTTTCCCAGTGCTAGGTATCAAACCCGTGGGCTTGCACATGCCAGCCAAGTGCTGTGCCACTGAGCTCTAACCCTCTTTTTATACTTTCCAGTGCAGCCACCAGAAGACATAAAATCATGCATGTGGAGCCTGCTGTATTTCTGCTGAGCGGTGTGGCACAAAGCCATTCCTCCTGTCTTGGAGCTCAATGGCCTTTTCTACCCACACTTCACCCCCGCGGCTGCTGCTGCATCACCCAGAGGGAGCTGCCTCCTGGGGCTCTCCATGCCACGGCCTGACCCCCAGCACGGCCTTGGTAACAAAGGATAAGGCTCCTAGTGCCCATCCAGGCTGGCATGGAGGAGTTGGTCTGTTCACCAGAGCTTGGTGCCCACCAGAAACCCCTGCCAGGTCCTGCCGCCCTACCCAGTCCCCCGTCACTGGCTGGCTTCTGACCTGCCTGCAGGTGCTGGGGCCATTTGAGCAGGGAGGAAGCACTACCCAGGGTCTTGCCTTGGTGAACACAGTCTTTGAGCACCTCCCTATCTCCCTCT